AATATAGCTAGGTCGGTGTTATATTCATGTCCTAAACACAAAATTACTTCTATTTTGCCGAGGAGGGAGCAGAAGAGCAGATGAGTCATCGCACGCCGCGAGCCGCGTGGTCCCCCCCCCCCAAATACGTTAGCACCAAATTGACTCCCGACAGGACAATATGCTATGGTGCCGTCGTCATGGTAGTTTAATCAGTTGTGAGAACTAGAAAAACGAAGCCCATTGTGGAGCAGAGTTAGGGCAGCGGCGAGACTGGTCGTCTAAGGGTAGGTCTTTAGGCGAAAAAAATGATTACTTCCTTCAGAGTAGGTGTGAAAGAGCAGGCTTATTGGTAGTGCCACCGATATGCGACACCCACCAACTTTAGTAGAACCCCTGGTGCCTGCTTTCATACTGTTTTATCCACAACAGTAGTTATAATCGTACCGAGGTGTTGTTAATGCCAGGCATTTTCGAGAGAAGAGGTGTTCGTACTCAGAGTCTTTGTGAATTCGTCCCCCTAGATCCTTATTGCGTCAAACCTTCTGTCTGACGATCAAGGTTGAAACGAACCACTTGAGCTTTTTGAACCATCATGTTCAAAACAGATCTCCTACTCCCTCTAAATTTGATCTTATTTTGGGAAAACAGTGTAAATAATGCTCGTGCTTTCGTTAGCTATCTTCCAGCATCGTGAACATCTGGTAGATCGATAGGTAGTAGGAACTCACAAAGTGTATTTTTCCATGGTTATAGCACCATTCGTATTTCAGCCCAACGAATTCATTTTGGAGTTACCGGTTAAGCGTGGCAATTGGGTGCCTGATGTGTTCGCCCTCAAACTCTCGGGACCAAAGCGTGACCTCCTTCTGGTTTCGGACCTACGATGGTGTGGGGAAATTGCAGAACGTCCACTACCAAAGTAACAGTCCTGCACCCCCTTCTTTTCAAGCCCTGCTCATATTCCACGACACCCTATTGTTGCGAAGATTGTTCCGGTATTCCGATAATTGATGTGACGCGTTGAATTATGACTTTCTATTCTGCACGAGGGTACAGCATCGTTGGGTGACTCCCATCAGGGGCTCAGAGCTGATCACTTGGGTGAGGGATCGTATTTGCCATGGAAAATTTTTTTTACTGTTGATTTTGCCTCCTTCACCTGCACTACGTACATCGTTGTGAGTATCGCAGTAGAGTCGCGGGAGGGATAACAGTCCCTGAAATGATAGCCCGCATGCCTTCCTGAACAGTTATGGCAGCATCGACGACGATGAAGCATATTGATGGAA